CCCACTTTTCCTCAAGCCAGGCCCCGCTCACCAGTGACGCTCACCACAATACTGGCTACACGCCAGGTCTGCTGCTCCCGGGAGCCCTGTTTTCATGAGCGACTGGGCACACTCTCCCTGTTTGCCATTCCCTCAGACCCTAAGTTTGTAGAGCTTGGGGCTGAGATCCCCCAGCGAATTTTGCTAGCCCTCCAGTAGCCACGCCCCCGGTAGCTGGTGCAAGAGACCTCAATTGTCAGCACTGGTGGGAGCGGTAGCCGGGAGTTCCGCGCCGCGGGTCCCGCACCACTCCTGATTCCCTTGGTCTGGCTATCGCGCTCACGGGAGAGCTGGGAGGGGCCCTTAAGGTTTCCCTGCTGTGTGGAGAGGGAAGGCTAGGAGATTACACACCTGTCGCCGCTGGTTTCAATGAAGTTATCTCCTCCGCCGCATTCTGGTGACGTCAGTTCTCTGCCATGGTGGTATCCTGTGCAAATGGCGACAGTTCGTTCCCTTTGCCGGGTGACCAATGCAACGGGTGGGTCCTGAGTGTCTCTCCCAAGCCCCATTTCAATCCTGTGGCCACTGCCTATGAAGGCTCGGTTGGCATTAACCTCCGTAGGATCAGAAGGTCCGACCAGTTGTTTCAGCAGGATTGTTTAGTGCTGAGTCACAGCAGTTTGTCTTCGAGAAGCAAGCGAACGGGAGCTTGAATTCAGCCAATCCAGGCTCAGTGTGTGTTCTGAGAGGCCCAGACTGTTCGCCTCAGATCCACGTCAGCTCAGTATTGCCTAGTGATCCTGAGCAAACAGCATTTAGACGGTTTACGACTCCCTATGCCCGCGCAGCTGAAGAGGTCAGAGACTTGATCTCTCCGCGAAGAGGTCAGAGACTTGAGCTCTCCGTGCCCGCCGCCATGTTGGATCAGGGATATAGAATTTTAATTTATTCTCAGTTATTATAATGAGCAGGTTATAAAGTATTTAGTTATTTGGGGGCATTTTCACATTCTGAAGAGTCACAGACAGCTGTTAGGATTTAAAATATATATGCATGCATTAAATAGCATAATTAATATGTTAAATAATATTTGGACTATTTTAGATTTTTTCTTTTTAAAGAATATTATTACTAAAGAGACCTGCAAGTTACAGATGTACCTCCTAAGATACAAAAATAGATATTGTGAAGTAGAACCAAAAATACATCATAATAAAAATGGAGTACTGATATCATTTATGAGAAGAGAAGTTCAAGAGAAAGTGTAGAAATTCTAAAGTGGAGCTATTCGGAAGTCTACTGAATCTGGAACCACAAAAGTTGTCCAGGTAGGAGATTTAGGGAGGTTGTTGTTAGTAAGATTGCCCAAGTATGAAGAGGGAGAAGATGCCCGAAGATGGAACACTGGGGTCAACAGCTTTTAAGAGATAAGCAAGGACACATTGTCTCCTTGATGGAGAAAGAGACAGCATGCTCAGAGAAGATAATCAGGAGAGAGTGAGGTCATGGTAGCCAAAGGAGTAGAGAACTTCTAGAAGGGAAGGAGGAATAAATCATGTCAGGTGCTTATAGAGGTTGAATAAGGTAAGTATGGTCTAGTATTCATTGCACCAGCAATTAGAAATTTGTGGATTGTTTGGAAGAAAATAATGGGTGGCTGGTGAGACCAGATGCTAGATCTCAAATCTTTACCCACTATATTGACTGGTGAGACAGTAGAGATAGCAAAGGAAGATTCTTCTTTTATCAAGAAAGTTAGCTTTAAAGGAAAGCAGAGTAGATGAAAACAGAGAAAAGGTTTTTAAAAGAAATAGCTGAGAGAAGTAGATTCAGGTAAGTGTTCAGGAAGAAGGGCAGGAATTCAGAGATGCCCTTCCTAAGAGGTTCTGCCTTCACATGGTAAGCCTTGAAGTGGCAGCTGGAGGACTGAAAGAATTGCCACTGACAGGAGTTGGCCAGGCATCAGTTGTGTGTGAACAGCATCAAGGACTCAGCTCAATATTAAGACCATGAATTTATTGTCAAGGCTACCTTCACGTTCCTGTACTTTTATGCTAGCATGTTTATGCAGTCTAGCTGTGGGAGGGAAGATGCATGGTCAGATCTACCCAGAGATTGGATTTTATATAATAGACAAACAGCATGTGCAGAGATCCTGTGGTATGCAGATTGGATTTTATATAATAGACAAACAGTAGAATAAAGTGGCTATAATTTGGATATGGTTTGCAGGCTCTAGGATCTAGTTCCACAAGTAAGATATTAAAATACTTAGCAGGCATTTGACCATCTTGTCCACTGATGTGCCATCACCATGTATCCTGAGTATCTGGAGCCACTCCTGGTACTACTATGTGCTCAATGAATGATTTCCAGTGAATCATTTTTCCAGAGCTCCAAAGCTTGGCCTTGGTCTGCCTTTACTACATAACTAGTAGCTATGAGATTATGGATACATGACTTTACACTTTGGTTTCTTCCTGTGTAAAATAAGAACTTTTCAAATGTTAATGAAGCATTAGAATTACATTTGGAACATGGTAATTCCAGATAAACATTAACTGCTGTTAAATATTTTGCTTTCATTCTCTTACCACTCATTCTTGTATAGTCTAACTTTGCCGGAAACAGTGTTTGACACATAATAAGCATTCAGTAAATATCTATTGAGTGAACAGAAGGCTTTGTTTTTACTATGATATATTTAGCAGATGTTAGTGTCAGTCAAGTGAGAGGCTAGAAGCCTGGTGATTTAAAATATTGCTTTTTGCCTTAGAGAGTTTCAGAATGTGGTTTATGAGAGACATTAACCAAATAAGCCAATAAATGGAAAATGAAGCCAGGTACCTTTGCGCACACCTGTAATCCCAGTGGCTTCGGAGGCTGAGGCAGGAGAATCCTGAGTTCAAAGCCAGCCTCAGCAAAAGCGAGGTGCTAAGCAACTCAGTAAGACCCTGTCTCTAAATAAAATACAAAATAGGGCTGGGAATGTGACCCAGTGGTCAAGTGCCCCCAAGTTCACTCCCCAGTACAAAAAAATATATAAATAAATAAAATAAAATGAAACCTGGAAAATTTTATGGAGGATTGTAATACAATACTGTGAGAGCCTTTGCTAGAGGACCTTACCAGGGAGAAAAAGTAAGAGTTCACTGAAGAAATGATGTTTAAAGCAGGTGGAGAGGGGACTGCATGTGTAGAAGTCCTATAGTGTCCAGAGTGGCTGAGGTGGAGTAGTGGGAGTGTGGTCTGAAACCAGGGTTAGGAAGGTGAATGGAGTCAGACCATATTAAGATTGAAAAAATTTTTAAAAAATGGAAAAAATATTGGCAAAGTAGATGCTGCTAGACCAATTAGGAGACTGCTATATCAGTTCCAACAAGAGGTGGTAATTATGTAGACTAGGGACAGGTGATGGTGATGGTGATGGTGAAGGGAAAAGTGTTAGGCTTCTGAGGCATTTGGAAAATAGTATTGATGGGTAGGGTTGAAGAACAGGAAGCTTATGAATTTTGATTTTAAAAGAAATAGTTGAACAAGGCCCTGGGTTCAATCCCCAGCACCCCCCCACCACACACACACACAAAGAGTAGTTGAGAAAAGTAGATGCAGGTAAGTGTTCAGGAAGGAGGGCAGGAGTTCAGAGATGCCCTCCTTGGAAGTCCTGCCCTCACATGGTAAGTCTTGAAGTGGCAGATAGGGGACTGCAAAGATTGCCAAACACTTTGGCTGTGTTTGATCTACCTTGAAGACATCCAAAAAGAATTAACAGTTGGGCTGGGGATGTGGCTTAAGCGGTAGCGCGCTCACCTGGCATGCGTGCAGCCCGGGTTCGATCCTCAGCACCACATACAAACAAAGATGTTGTGTCCACCGAAAACTAAAAAATAAATATTAAAAAAATCCTCTCTCTCTATTTAAAAAAAAAAAAGAGTTAACAGTTAACAATTGGATGTACAAGCATGGAGCTCAGAAAAGACCAAGTTAGAGTTGGTGGTTATTTGAAGTGATATGTGTGAACAAAATCTTGAGCAAGAATATGGCAGGATAAGAGGAAAGGGCCTGGAATTGAGTCTTGAATAGTAATGTTTCATGGTTGCAGAGAGGAAGTTAAACCTCCAAGGGAAACAGAGGAAGGGACCATCACAGTTCACAGAAGGCAGGAAAGGGAGCAGCCCACTGTGGAGGCTGCTAGGAGGGCAAGTGAGAGTAGTCTTGGGGCTGGGAGAGAGTAGGTCTTGGGAGACCTTTCTGAACAGCTGTGTGGGGACTGATGCAGGTGAAAGGGGAGGCAGTGAGAGCATGAGCCTGTGGCCAACTCTACAGGGTGTTCACTTCACCAGGTCTAACGGGCAGAGAACCATAACCAAGTTCAGGTTACAATTTCATCATGCAAAGTATTTAACCAAATGTATCTTTCTTTATGCATTCCAAGGATCTACCGATTTTGGAAATGTTTCTTTTGTGGTCCCTGGAATTCATCCATATTTTTACATTGGATCCAACGCCTTGAATCATACTGAAGAGTACACTAAAGCTGCAGGTAGGCTGTTGAGAGTGCAGGTTTTCACATGTGCTCACTCTTTTCCTAGCAGTAGTGCCTTTCTAACTATTTAGTTTAGCTTGTTATTTCAGAAATAGATTCCGTGGTGGGTAGTTGGAGAGGCAACTTAGGGATTGGGACTTAACCTGAGGAATTGATAAGTTGATTTTTAATAAACGTAGAAATATTTTAATTCATTTTCTCTGTCCTTTAGGATCACAAGAAGCTCAGTTCTACACTTTGCGAACAGCCAAGGCTCTAGCAATGACTGCATTGGATGTTATTTTTAAACCAGAATTGCTGGAAAGAATTAGAGAGGACTTTAAATTGAAACTTCAGGAAGAACAATTTTTAAATACAGTAGAATAAAAAGGAGACTTAGGAGTGGTTTATGAATCATTAAGAAGTGATGATTTTTTTTCTTTAATCTTTTTTAATGAAGAGAACATGCTTGTTTTTAATCTTAAAGGAGTCAAATTCTCCTTACCTGATATGTAAGAACAGGGTATGGTGAAAACATATTCACTCATATCTAAAATGAAATTTTTGGGTGAATCTATACTTGATGGAATTGTGATATTTCAGGAGTTGATAGGTGATACTGCTGCTTAAGATGGATGGTACATGATGTGTCAAAATAATATTGACAAAATCTGTATAATAATTTACAGATTTATATATTATATATTTTAAAAGGTCCAAGAGGTTTTAAACCTTATATACAGAATTGACACCCACGAAATGGTTTTGTGGTACAGAGTAGTAAACTTATTTAATGTAGTTTTAAAGTTCATGGTCTAAATTTAGGTAAAGTTTGTTTCAAATATTTCTGTTTTTGCTTCAAAAAATCTCTTCATTTATAATAAAAGTAGCTTTTAATTAGAAATGCTTACGGGTAACAACTAGAAACTCAGATACAAAGAATAACTTTAGTTTTACCATTTGAAGAAAAATGAGAAGAATGTTCTAGTTTTTACACATGATCAACTCTGGGAAGTGGCATTAAAGTAATTGGTAATTCAGTGTTACAGTAAGAGGGTAAATGTTGGATGGTCAGGATCGGACTCTTCCTTTAAGGCATTTGCATGGTAGCCCTGAGTGTTCTAGGAGAACTCCGGGAGGAGCATTGGCTGGCACCTACTCTGCTCTCTGGAATGTTCAGAATCCTGCACTGCCCCTCCAGCCAGCAGCCTGCTCAGGCTCCCACTCAGAAGCCAGCTTGCCCCACCTGGCTGCACTGAATTTTGAGCCTCCTTAAGCCTCCTGCTAGCCCAATATTTTTAAAAAATTATTACAGGTTTTCCATGATTCTTATTTTAGTGTGAATTTCTTGAACATGCTAAAAAGAATGTGTGAAAAAAATATTTGGTAAAACAGATATTTTAAGCTGTGAATGCAGTAAAGCTCCAATGTAGTTTATTTTAAAGGAAGTCCTCAGCTTTGAACAAGCATTCCAGAAATGGAAGGGGAAGGAGAGAAAGTGTCCATTTGGCTTTTATGGTATAATAAGCAAGTCACTTGGGCCCTCTGAGCTATCAACTCACTTTTTGAAAAGTTAGATCTTCTACTTACAGTCTTTTGAACCACTAATTCCTGCTGTAATTATTTAAAATTGCAAGAGAGGTGGTTGTGTTTGGGAGAGTTAGTAGTTGAGAACTGCCTTTCTTCTGTATAAGAGTCTGTGGGTTATGTGCCTGATTTTGGCATGTAGCTGCCTTCTTTTTTTTAAAACCTGCCAAGAATGGGTTTATGTTTTTTAAAGGGTTGCTAAACAAAACAAAACAGAGACTAAATAATATGACCTGCAAAACCTAACATCTTTGCTGTCTGGCCTTTTACAAAAAAGGTTGCCAGCCCTGGCTGTATATAACAGTAAAATAAAATCTGTGTCTCTTTGACTTAGGTCATATGGTCGGATCTTCTGGAATAAAACTTCATAAAGAAACCCCATATCTTTTAGCAATGACTTCTAATGCTGTGATTAGAAATAATTTCTTTCTTAACCCTCACACTTCAAAGGTATTTTCATAAACCTTTACTTAACTGAAATTACCATTGGTTGGTTTTTACAACATCAAATTTCTAAATATTTTAAAATGTAAAGAGAGAAGTGTTAAATTATATCTAAACAAAGTGTTCCTTTTAGAAAAGGAAAGATTCTGTTCATCTCCTCCTCCTTTTTTTTTTTTTTTTTTTGAGACCAGGACTCACTAACCTTGAACTTTTAGTTCTCTTGCCTCAGCCTCCCAAGTAGCTGGGTTTGAGGCATGTATCATAGCACCTAGCTTTACCTCTTTATTCTTACAAGATGAATGTTAATTCTTAGGTGGTTAGCAAATAAGACTCATTTTTTTTTAAAGACTGAGTGAGAGGGAGAGAGAGAGAGAGAGAATTTTAATATTTATTTTTTAGTTCTCGGCAGACACAACATCTTTGTATGTGGTGCTGAGGATTGAACCCGGGCCGCACGCATGCCAGGCGAGCGCGCTACCACTTGAGCCACATCCTCAGCCCAAGACTCATTTTTTTAAAAAAATATTTTGTAGTTGTAGATGGACACAATACCTTTATTTATTTATCTTTATGTGGTGCTGAGGATCGAACCCAGTGCCTCACCCATGCTAGGCAAATGCTCTACACTGAGTCACAACCCCAGCCCAAGACTCTTTTATTTAGAATATTTATATTGTTTTTGAAGAAGGAGATAACCAAGTTTTTGTTCATTAGTTTCATGACATTTTATTATCACTAACACATTCTGTGATTATATATAGTTTTCCTTCACTGCCTATATATTTGAAGCTGGTGTGTGCATATTTTAAATTTTATTTTATTTTATTTTATTTTGATGCTGGGAATTAAACCCAGAGGTACTCTACCTTTGAGCTATATCCCTAGCCCCTGCCCCCTCTTTTTTTATACCAAGGATTGATCCCAGGGCCAATTAATCACTAAGCCACATCCTCATCCCTTTTTATTTTTTGAATTTGAGACAAGACTTGCTAACTTGCTGAGGCTGACCTCGAACTTGTGATTCTCCTTCCTCAGCCACTGGAGTATTTAGGATTACAGACGGGTCACCGTGCTTGGATTGTTTTTAAATTCTTAACAGTATCTAGCATAGTAGTTTACCTGGGAATATTCAGTACTTTTTGTTTTGTTTTGATTGGAGTACTGGTGGTTGAACCCAGAGGCACCCTACCACTGAACTACATCCCCATACCTTTTTAATTTTCAAATGGGGTATCTTTAATTTGCTCAGGCTTCCCTTAAACATGATTCTCCTGCCTTCTGTCCTTTTTGAATGAGAAAATACTGCATCCTTGCTTGAAATCATTAAAGTTTAAAATAGCTCTGTGGAGAGATCATAGGTACAAAATATGTTTTAATTTTGTGAACATAGCAATCTTTTGTACAATCTGGAGTAGAAATAGATACCTTATATTACTTTGCTTCAGATACAGGAAAACGAGATTCATTTTTGAAAAAGCTGCACTGGTTTAATGCAAAGTTTAAAATTATAAGATTTTAAAGAATCAGTTTCTGATCTAAAATTAGTTTCTTGAGGTGTCTGTTTTATGGAAAGGTCTTTTATTGCATGCATTTATAATCTTTCATGCTAATACCCTACACTTTAAGCTTTTCCCTCAAATACCAACTTTGGGCTGTGTTAAATTAGTATGCTTTAAAAGATATAATGTAAATTAATGGTTTAAATATAATTACAAACTGAAGATGCTTTTTCTATAGTGACAGTTTTAAGCAGGCTTGAATATGGGACCCTGTAAAACAATTATGTGTTATAGGCTGAATATCTCTTATCTGAAATGCTTGGGGGCCAGAAGTGGTATTTTGTTTTTGTTTGGTACCAAAGATGCTTAGCCACTGAGCCACATTTTCAGCCATTTTTTATTTTTTATTTCGAGACAAGGTCTTGCTAAGTTGCTTAAGGCGTCTCTAAATTGAAGAGGTTGACCTTGAACTTGTGATCTTCCTGCCTCTGTCTCCTAAATCACTGAGATTACAGGTGTGTGCCACCACACCCAGCCAGAAGTGTTTTGGATTTGGGAGTTTATTTGGATTTTGAAATATTACATATGCATAGTAAGATATCTTGGGGGATGCCACCCAAGTTTAACCACAGAATTTCTTCATGTTTGCATATATATATATGTGTATATATATATATATATATATATATATATATATATATATACACACACACACACACACACACACACACACACACACACACACACACTTGGGCCAAAGATAATTTTATAGAGTATTTTTAGTGTGCCTGCATTTTGACTGCAACCTGTCACATGAAGTCAAGTGTGAAATTTTTCACTTGTATAATGTTGGCATTCAGAAAGTTTGGGATTTTGGATCATTTTGGGTTTTCAGGTTAGGGATATTCAACCTGTTTTATTAATTACCAAGTTGCTATATAAGATTGAATGCAGTTAGTATTTAGCTTGTCTCTTAAAATTTTGGGCTGCTTTTTAGTCTTGCAAATTCTCCTTATTTGAACCACTCAGGACATTTTCCTCTTTTCATTGCTTCCCTCTGTAGCACTCAGAAGTGCTGGGGCATTTCGGATAAACTAGAACATTTTGTATGTTTATAAATATGTATGTGAACTTAAAGCATTTTGATTTTCCACAAAGTTATTTTCTTTGGTATTTTAGCTTGTAATCTTGACATTTGAGCTCAATAAACATTTGTTGAAGAGTGCCTATTTCTAAGAACTTGGTGAAAGAATAAGGCAAAGTCTCTGCTCAGAAAGCTTGCTGTTGGTGGCAAATTCTCACTTCTTAATTCTTTCTTCATCTGAACAACACTGGGGCTGAAGCAACAACTGAAAGCTATTGTCTTGGAATTTTTTGAAAAAGTGTTTCTAAAATATTTTAAAATATCTGAGTTTCCCCAATCTGTTTGAACAGAAGAAATTGATGTGCAAAAATTTTTTTAAAAAAAGGAACGAATGTCTTGTTTGATAATATATTCTGTAAAAAAAAAATATTAAAACCTTTCTGATAGTTTTTGTGCAGTTCTAACTTTTTACCTTAAGAAGTCTTTTGGTAAACGTCCTATATACACCAGCCTTCGCATTGTCAAAATGAATTTTCATTATAAGATAAATGTTGTCTTGGTGCTGTCTAGCAATTTTTGTAAGGCTGCAAGCTATGACAAAATACTTTTTTTTTTTTTTTTTTTTACTTCAAGCATCTTGTAGTACAATTATGGTTGAGGGTGGTGCATTTTGATGTGTGAAGTTGAAATTTTCAAGTAAGCAATCACTCTACTACCATCAGATTATGATAATTTTTGTAATATTTTAATATATATTAAAATGTGTATGAAATATAAAATGTTAAGTATGTTTAATAACACTTGTTATTTTTAAAATGATGTATATGAAAATACATGAAGATAAAGCACAATTACCCAAATGCACTATGGTAATACTGTATTTTATTAATTTATCAGTATTGTAGGT